CTGGGAAGTGGGGAAAGTCCGTTCTGCCTGTCCACTACCCTCTTCTGACACCGCCCAGCAAGGACATGGAGCCGCACCTAGTACTGCCAGACGGGAGTGAAAGTCAAGGGTCTCCACGTGGTCTTTGTGGACACTTTGTTGCTACCTGTCAGGGATAAAAGTTCTAGTAATTTCTAGAAGTTCTAGTTCCCCACTGACCTTTCTCTGATAATGCCACTGCAGTAGAGTGGAGGAACCTCATTCTAGTTTGGCAATGGAGGAAATCTGGGCTTCTCAGTCAGCTTGTCCTAGTTGAGGTGGGGGTGCTTCAGTATACTCTCTGTGGCATTTGGCTGGAGTCAGGTGGTTATTTTCTAAGTTTTCTGTCTTGCTAGGCTGCCCCTTTCAGTCCTTTAGCTAGAGAGATTGGGGTCTTCCTGGAGCTTCTAAAATGGACTCTCTGGTGTTTCCTCTTTGCCAACTTCTCCAGGACCCAGCCTGGAATATATGAGGCAAACAAAAAACATATAAAACTCACTGCTGTGCTGTTCCTTGAGTCCTGAGGTCCTTAGCCAGTCTGCTTTGTTCCTCGCACTTTTCAGCATCTTCTCATGCATGATATATATGTCATTTACATATATGTATGATGTCCAGAGTTTTTAGTTGTATTTATCAGAAGAACTAGGGAAATGTACATCCATTCTCTCTTTTGAAATCAGAAATCTCTCGTCATTATTATGTTTGAAAGACACTTTTGGGCTGGGTGTAGAGTTCTATGTTGACAATTTTTTACATTCAGTAAAGATATTGCTTCATCATTGCTTTTTTTGGCGTGCAAAGATTCTGATTTCTGAAGTCATTCTTTACTTCATTCCCCTGGCATGAAGCATTTAAAAACTATGGCTACTTTAATATTTTCTCTTTATAATTTTTTTTCAGCTATTTGCTCATGCTATGTTTTAGGGTAGTTTTCTTTAGATTTCTTCTGCTTTGGAGTTCATTGAAATTCTTTCTTTCTCCACTAGATTATAAGCTACATGAAAGCAATGATTCTGTGTATGATCTCTAAAGTATTTATTGAAAAAAAGTAAATGAATATATCTCAAAATATAATCAGACCTGTTCATAGACAGAAATATGTATTTATCTGGTATCTAGCTATATTTTCCTTTTTATTTACTTATATATCTTACCCAGTTATTAGCTGGAAACTCAAAGCTCCTTGAGATCTAGAAAAGATTATTTTAGGACCATTACATACTCTGTGGAAGTCCAAAACTCTTCCTCAGGGATATTATAAAACCCAAGATGTGTATTTTGTGTTCTGATAGTTGTAGGGGAAAATGGTTCAAAATTGACAGTAATCTTTCCGTGTTGTCTTAGCCCATTTTTGTGTTGTTATAAAGGAATACCTGAGGCTGGGCATTTTTTAAGGGAAAAGGGTTATCTGGCTCACAATTCGTATGTCTGGAAAGATGGAAAGGCTGCATCTGGTGAGAGCCTCAGGCTGCTTCCCGAGGGGCGGAAGGTGAAGGGGAGCCCACGCGTGCAGAGATCATACGGTGAGAGAGGGAGCGAGAGATGGGGGGGGGTGCCAGGCTCTTGTTAACAACCAGCTCTCCCAAGAACTACTGCCCTCAAGGCGGGACATTAATCTATTCATAAGACATCCCCATGACCAAAACACCTCCCACTAGACCACACTTCCCAACGCTGCCACACTGGGGACTGAATTTCAACATGAGATTTGTTGGGAACAAACAAACCATATCCAAAGCACAGCACATGTCATGTGATTAGTCTAAGTTAATCATGGTAATCTCATCTCCTGTGTCATGGACTGGTTCCAGGATTGACAGGCCTTATACAATTACAGCCGATGAAACGCATTGAGAATCTTCACAAGGCTTCTCAGAAAGTAAAACCAGTCTCTCTCTACAGAGTTCCATGAATAAGGGAGTATATTTCCACAGATGTTGCTGGGAGCCTGCTTACATCAATCAGGATCCCAGTGGGAAACAGAGTTCCACTTGGATAATTCAGAATGAAGATACTTTAATTATAGGACCATTTATAGAGGTATAAACAAATGAAGATATGAGCAGCTTGTGGGATTTTGGGGTTCCTGGACACTCGCAAGAGTGGGAAGCTTGAAGACACAAGGAGAGATGACAAAGCAATGGCTGTGGGACCAGCCGCTGCCAGAACAAATGTGTACCAAAGCAAGGATGAGATGGAGAAGAAACACCATGGCGCATAGCCTTGCTCTCTTCCAACCTTCTGATCTCCTGCTGGTGCCTCCCACTGGCCGAGCCCAATTAGAAGCCAGCTGGGAAGTCTGACCACATGATGCATCCTTAGCTTAGCCTTTGAGGCACAGAGCAGGATCTAATAAGGACAGAGAAAGGAACTGGTGAGCTAAACTAAGAATAGCCAGCATATTCCTATGACCACATGGGGAATCAACTATAGGATGAAGCCAATGCTGGTAGACGGAAGGGCAGAGAGTTAGAAATGATTAGGTCTGTGTTGACATGGATATAGACTGAATCAACCAACCCCCTAAGACTGCACTATTTCTGGACTTTCTATTATAAAATATAATAAGTGTCCTCAATATATAAGTCATTTTCAACTGACGTTTTTGCTACCTGAAGACAAAGCATACTATCTAATATTAGAATACTTTACCTTTTGCTTGGTGTGCATAATTATAGAACACATCTCCTTTTTGAATTTCCTCCCTCCTCCACCTGACAAACCATAAATACAAGTCTGTTGCATGAAGCATTTTCTATTGAAGTTTTCAGGCTTATATGGAGGGTTCACATATCACAGTGAAAGGCAAAAAACAAAACACGTTAGATATCTTCTGGCTGTGTTATTTTAAGTTTCTCTCTGACTACTCCACTTCCGAGAGCCATCGCCTGCCCTGAGCAGCACACCCACGGGGCCGGTCTTTACACCCTGTCATGACCTCTACATCGTCAAGTCCCCATTCTTCTCCTCTTGAAAATTTGCTTATGAATTAATCCAACAGATCATCACCTTTAGGCGTATGCTGCCCTGAGTACTGCGGCAGGGCTGTGGGCAACGCAGAGAACTGGAGAGAAGGCTGGGCCGGGGCAAGCCCCCGGCAGAAGTCCAAACCAGAGCCGGTCCAGGTGTTGGCCAATCAGAAGACAGATCTGAACTGACACTTCTGTTGCTAGTTGAAAAGTCCCTGTGAAGAGGCCTGTGAAAGTGGGAAGTCTGCAGGCCTGATATAGATTTGCAGCCTTCCTTTCCCAGCCTCAGAAGAGAAGTGACAGAACCTTCCCGCATAGGACAGGAGTGAGGGGACGGGTCAGAGGCCTCTGTTTATTCTGTGGGGCTCTGAGGTGGGGGGCGAGGGCATTGAAGTTACCTTCAAGGTCACTTTCTGACCATTCTTCCTTGCCCCTACCCCCTTCCAGGTCTGAGCGTGGTTCCTTCTCCATGCTTCAGTTGCACCAGGGGGACCCCCCTTGTGCAGGGTTGCCCTGATCCCAAGGACACACCGCCCAACAGCCTCCTAGTCTTAGGTGCCCTAGAACTGTGCACCTAATACAGAATATCGGAATAACTCAATTTATGTGCCACTAATGAAACTTGTTGTTGCTGCCTCTTCCTTACTTCTGTCTTCCTGGTAAACTCCTTATATTCTGTTTCAGATTCTCTCCTCTATTTTAAAATAGGACCTAAAATACACCAAAGAGAGAGGGATGGGCAGTCGTGTGTAGGGTCGCTATTAATGTTTAGCAGGCATTGTTCCAATCATTTATAACCATTTAGTACCACCCTTAGACATGTGCAAGAGGAGTCTTACGAATAATAAATGTATTAAAAAACATCAATATTTATGCCATTTGGGATTTATAGAGCTGGCACAGTATAATCTATCACCTGTCCCCTCATTTAAACACCTGTCCCCTCATTAATACCATACAGGCTCCAGGAAATGATTCTCCACATATTTTGCTCTCTGTCCTCAAAACTAAAGGTAACTGTGCCCAAATGCGGTAAGAGTTTGTGTATTGTGCCTTTCCAGACATCAGATGACCCATTTCATGGTTCAGAGGGGATTTAAGCAGGTGAAGGGTTTATAAGAGAAAAGTCAATTCAATTAACATTTCGGATACTTTCACTTAAATGAATGTAATGGATGAATGTAATGAATGAATGAATGTAATGGATTCTTGGGAATGAATGTATGTATGAATGTAATGGGTTCATTACAGGGAATGAATGTAATGGATTCTTGCATAATAAAATATCCCTAGGCAGCAGGGTGGGGTGTCACTTTTTGTTGGTTGTTTGCTTGTTCCACATATTAACTTGATATTTCCAACAATTGCACATGACAGCTGACAAATGTTTTGCAATATTAAACAATTTATATTGCTCTTAAATTTGTATACATGAGATTTAGATGAAAATGCATAAAATAATGATCTGCATTTTACAAAGAGAAGCCTGCAGCAAAAAGAAGTTCAGTAATTTTTTGGCTCTTAGCACATTAGTGGTAGAATTACAACTCAAAACCATTTCCCTCTAATAATTCTGCTCTTCCCATCCCAACTTAAGCTCCTCAGTGTTTAAAATAATAGGAATGAGCATCTCTGTGACAACAAATTTTTGTTCCCTAAAATATAATTTCTACTTATTTTCTCTTACTAAAAATCCCAAGTAGAAGGTTTTAAATAAACATCACAAAGATGTCTACTCTTGAATCACTTTTCTCTTTTAGTTTCGTAAACCTCTAAAGCATTCGATCTTCAGATCTAGACAGGCAAAGTCTATAATTTGATCTAGACAGGCATCAAACATTCATCCAATGCAATTCACTGAAAATATAGTGGCAAGCACTGGATTGCGAACCTTCATAAAATACGTCTGCCCGGAGACCGATGATGTCCTGTAGCTCCAGTGCTGATTGGTTCCCTTCCTAGGGACTCCCCAATCCCACCATGCATGGAAGCCTCCACAGGTTTTTATTCTCTGAGGTGGGCACATCAGGCCCATCAGGTGTGAGCCGTGTTGACTGCCATTACTTTTCCCTTGTTCTCAGCCATGTCTTGGCAGATGGCTCTGCGCGTCCCGCGAGGCCTCTGGAGCGCGGCGCTGATGCTGATTCTGCTGCCGCGGAGCAGCCCGGTGGCCGAGGGCAGAGACTCGCCGGGTAGGTGCAGCGCGGCCGTCCGGAGCCCCACTCTGGGGAGCAGGCTCTGCTGGGGCTGGGGCGGGGGCGGTGACCTCTACGGTCTCAGAACACAGCCTTTTACCATACGTTTCCCTTCTCTGGGGAGAGGGCTGCGTTGCAGTCTCACGCCCACCTTCCAGACAGGTGAGCGCAGCCTCCAGCCCTTGGGTTCAAACCTGGGATGTTAGGGTGGAGGAGGAGGAGACGAAGCGCGTATCGGGCAGAGACAGGACAAGTGGGCGTGGGGCTCATTTCAAAGACACGAATTTCTCCAAAGACACAGATTTGTTATTTTAGGGTTGCCCGAAACCTTGTCTGGGTTAACACTACGGGGTTCTGGGGTGGGGAAACGTAGGACAGCAGTGGTCCCTGGAGTCTCAGCATTGGGGAGGGAACTCCACGTTCCCGACTCCGGGTGGAGGGTTCGTGGAGGCAGGCTCCCGCATTTGAGGTGGGTCACCTGGCGACCACAGAGGGGAGACTTAACTTCGGGTTTCATTGGTTTATGGGCAAATAATGACGAGTGGGATTCAGACTTGAGTTGACGGCGGACTAAAATCAGCAGGATACAAAGGATGTAGGGAGGTGAAGTGACACCTACTGAGAAGCCACGCGTTTCAGACACAGGGTCCGCATCTTTATATAAATTCTGTGTCAGTCTTCTTGACACCGCATGTGTGTAATTATGACTTTCACACAACTACGCGTGTGGTATGGAGACTCTGTCAAGCAACCCTCCCAGGGCGGCAACGTCCCAGCTTCACCGGAATCAAATTTGCCACAGTCCAGAGCTTGTGTTTTTGGTACGAATACGGTGCAGGCGAAGGCCCCTCCGCACGGCTGGCAGGGACCGCACACTCCAGCGGGGGGGGGAAGGCAGGGACCGCACGCTCCAGCGGGGGGGGGAGGCAGGACCGCCATCAGACAAGGGGGGGCAGGACGCAGAGTGAGCGAGACTTGGCGGGGAGGAAGGACTCGCCGGGAGCACGGGGACAAGGACAAGGACATATGCTCGTCAGGGCGAGGCAAGCTGAAGTCCGCCAGATTCCAGGCCTGCGGCGTCCCGAGCTCCCGGGCTTGCCTGGACCCTCTCGGAGGTCCCGGGGACGAGACTTCCTGGGGGACGCCGAGCCCTCTAGGGACACGGGCTCGTAGAACCGCGCCGCAGGCTGGGCAGGGTCGCAGCTGTAGCGACTGGGCTCCCCGCCACCGCCACACCCCCCCTCCCTCCCCACGAAGGCGGATTCGGATTCCGGAAGGCCGGGGAGGCGGGAGGCGCCGGGGGCGCAGGGCGGGCGCAGGGCCCTGTCGAGAGTCGCCGGGCGCCGCCCGCCGGGTTTCGGGCTTAGACGACTTCAGCGCGGGGCGGCGGGGGCTGCGGCGGCGGGAGGCGGGGGGCGGGCGGCGGCGGCGGCGGGCGGGAGGCGGGGAGAGGGCCGGCGGGGAGGGCGGCTGCGGCGGGAGGCGGGAGAGGCGGCGGGGAGGCGGGCCGGCGGGAGGCGGGCGGGCGGCGGGAGGGCGGGGGCCGGCGGGAGGGCGGGCTGCGGGCGGGAGCGGGAGAGGGCCGGCGGGGAGGGCGGGCTGCGGGCGGGAGGCGGGAGAGGCCGCGGGGAGCGGCGGGGCGGCGGCGCGCTGACCCGGGCCATTCCCCGCAGAGGATTTCGTGTTCCAGTTTAAGGGTCTCTGCTACTTCACCAACGGGACGCAGCGGGTGCGGCTTGTGACCAGATACATCTACAACCGCGAGGAGTACGTGCGCTTCGACAGCGACGTGGACGAGTACCGGGCGGTGACGCCGCTGGGCCGGCCGGACGCCGAGTACTGGAACCGCCAGCAGGACATCATGGAGCGGACGCGGCCGAGGCGGACACGGTGTGCAGACACAACTACGAGGTTGAAAAGGGCTTCACCTGGCAGCGGCGAGGTGAGCGCTGCCGCCCCGCCACCCTCGGGGAGAGCGGGCGGGGGAGAGCGTGCGGGGGAGAGCGTGCGGGGGGGCAGCGTGCGCGGGGGGGAGCGCATGCGGCGGGGGCCCGGAGCGTCGCGCCGCGCGGGGGGCGCGAGCGTGGCGGGGACGTGCGGGGGGAGCGTGCGGGGGGAGAGCGTGCGGGGGAGAGCGTGCGGGGAGAGCGTAGGGGGCGAGAAGCGTCCCCGGGAGACGGTGCGGGACGACCCGGCGTGCGCGGGGGAGAGAGAGCGAGAGCCCACAGTCCGGGCCGACGGCGTGCGGCCGCGACGAGCGTCCACCCCCGAACAACCCAACCCCACCCCCCAGAGCGGCGGGGGACAGACGCGTGCGGGGAGAGCGTGCGGGGGGAGCGTGCGCGGGGCGAAGAGCGTGGGGGGAAGCGTCGGGGCGAGCGCGCGGGAGAGCGTGCGGGGGGGGAGCGTGCGGGGGGGGAGCGTGCGGGGGGGGAAGCGCGGCCGGTCCCCCCCACACGCGCCGGCCCGGCACCCAAAACCAAACCAACACACCAAAGAGAGCGTGCGGGGAGAGGGAGAGCGTGGGGGAGAACGTGGCGGGGGCAAGACGTGCGGGGAGAGAGTGGGGGGGGGTGAGCCGTGCGCAGGGGAGAGCGGGCGGGGGGCAAGAGCGCGGACGGGAGAGCCGGCGGCGGGGGACCGAGGCAAGCGCCATGGACCAGCCTCGCGCGAGCGCTAGAAGGAAACTAGCGGGGAACAGAATGTGAAGGAACACACATCATCAAATAAGTGAAACACGCACGAAATGTTTGCAATAGTTTCACGCCAGGGGCTCAGGGAGGCGCGGCAAAATGGCTCTGTAGGTAAAGGTAAGATGTGTGAAGCGCGTAGGGAGAAGCGTGTGGTGTGCGGCCCCGGCGGCGATCTGAGGTGAGGCAACTGAGGCCCGCGCAGACGGCCATTTCACCCCTTCCGCGCCTTCCCTTCGGAGCGCGCACGCCTGTGACATGACGTCATCACGTCACCACGTGCGGGTTCCGGTTGCTAGGTACGGCTTGTCGAGCGAGGGCGAGGCGGCCGCTAACCTTTGCATCCCTGGTACTCGGGTTTGAGGAACGAGCGAACGCAGGGACGAAACGAGCACAGACGGCATAGGCGATGAGGGGATGGAAGTTCACGAGTTTAAGGACATAGATCTTGTGGGGCGTTCACACAGAGGGCACGCGAGTCGAGTTAGGCCAGCGCCGGGAGGGCGCTGTGTGGACCCAGGAGGGGCCCGTCTCCCGAGGGCTGTGAGCGGGCCTCCGGAAGCGGCTCTGCAGGAGCGTGTGAGGGCTCTTTGCTGACTAGACAGAGATGTCCGCACGTCCTCTTCAGTCCCGTCTCCCTTCTCCCGCCCGGCTCACGGAATGGCCCCGGCCAGCAGGGGGCGGTCGAGCCGCTGTGATTTCTCTTGTGAGCGCTGGGACTACGAAACCGTCCCTGTCCTGGGATGAGCCAGCAGAGCCGGCCCTGAGGGTGACCTTCAGTTTCTATCAGTGAGGAAGGAAAAGGAGTCCAAGTTTATTATTGTTTTATGAATACTAACCTACAAAATATGGTGATTTATAATTTTAAGGTGATTCAATTTTTTAAGCATAGCAACTCCCTAGAATGATCAGACTCTGACGAGTAAGCTGCTGACGTGTCGTTGAGCTAGCAGGTGGCGAGCTCGGGCTCTCATCTGAGACGCGGGCTCCAGTTGTCTCCCCACTGTGGTAGCACAGAGGGACTTCCCCACGGAGACGTGCCCTTGGCCTCACGTCTCGTCGTGTCGTTTTCCGTCTGTTACTCCCCCTCAGTGGAGCCCACGGTGACCGTCTCGCCGTCCAGGACGGAGGCCCTAAACCACCACAACATGCTGGTCTGCTCGGTGACGGATTTCTACCCAGGTCAGGTCAGGGTCCGGTGGTTGCGGAATGACCAGGAGGAGACAGCCGGCGTGGTGTCCACCCCGCTTATTAGGAACGGGGACTGGACCTTCCAGATCCTGGTGATGCTGGAAATGACCCCCCAGCGTGGAGACGTCTACACCTGCCACGTGGAGCACCCCAGCCGCCAGAGCCCCATCACCGTGGAGTGGCGTAAGGGGAAATTCGTTTTCTTTTGCTGTGGGCTTCGCAAAACAAAGGGCAGAGCTCCTCTGGCCTGTGCCACCCCATGGTACAGGATCCCTGATGTCACCTAAGAGCTGGGAATCCCCGGAGACATCTCTTGAGACTCTGAAAAGCAAAAGAGAGCACGTCTTGCTCCCTGGAGGGCATCGGAGGAATTCTCATGTAATTGTCTTTCAGATACCAGTGAGATCACTGTACACACTGTGGCCCTGGAACCCAGCCTGATACTCTGAGGGACTGTTATGGCTGGTGACAGGGTTCTCAGGGCCTAAGGTTATGGTTGTGTTCATGAGGGGCAGGGACCCCCCTTTCCTCTCCCTCACACACCCAGGGTCCAAGGCTGGACCTTCCCTTCCCTAGGGGTGGTCAGAATGGGGAACGAGGCTCCCTTGACACCTCCTCCTGCACCTCAGACTGGACTTCAGGTCCTCACAGGGACACTGTGGGGTGTGGGGACAAACGCTGACCCCGGGCTCTGCTCCCCAGGGGCTCAGTCTGAATCTGCCCAGGGCAAGATGCTGAGTGGCGTCGGGGGCCTTGTGCTGGGGCTGATCTTCCTTGGGCTGGGCCTTGTCATCCGTCACAGGAGTCAGAAAGGTGAGGAACGCTGGGGGGCCTGGGGGACATGGGCTGGGCCCGAGACCCTTAGTTGAGAGAGGCTGTGCCTCTAGGGGCAGCACTTTCCTCCTGAGCCTGGAAGGAAGGAGACAGGGGGAGGGGGTGTGGGGGGGCAACCGAGGGGTGCCTGGGGACCTGGCTGTGCTGGTTGAAAGGGGCCATGTAGAGGTGGCGGGGAAGTTTATTCTAGGGTTTCCTTACCGCTCATCATTGTCTCACTGGCTCCTTTCCAAAAGCTTCCTCCATTAAGAGGGCCAGAGGCTCGGCTCCCCTTCCTTCTAGTGACAATTTCATTTGTTTTGCTGGATTTTAGCTTAGGGCAATTAAGGTACAGGGTGGGGAGAGAATATAACTCTCCGATTAAGTTGCATGTGTCATTTCTCTGAGTGAGAGTGTGGCTATTTGTGTAATGAGACTTTCTCTGTGTAATTTACTTTTGTAGGACCTCGTGGGCCTCCACCAGCAGGTAATATTTCTGTTCTGATTCCGTGGGGACAGGGGGACAGGTGTAAGAATGAAGGGCATGAGGTGACTTACCTGGGCACTTTGTTCATAGCCTGTTCCCTTCTATGGGGATCAAGAATTAAGGAGAAAATTGCTGAGTTTCTGTAAAAAGCTCCAGATGTTATTTCCCAGAATCAAATCATAACTTTGCGGCATCTTTCTGTGAAACTTGGAGTCAAAGCCACACCTTTGGTGATAGGCCCTAGGCTTTGTCTACTTTGTGCTATTTGTTGGTGGCTGCTGCCTGTCCGTATTTACCAGTGACTAGAAGAGGCTGCCAGTGATAGAAAGAGGGCAGTTACCATCCGGTTTACTGAAAAGGTTGAGCCCTTCATATTCCCCACAAGGGTAACGCTGTTCCCCAACCTCCCCACAGCTGTGTCAGCTGAAGTCCGTGTCCTCGTTAGCTGATTTCATCTTCACACAGAGATATTGGGGGAGGTGATGATATGCCCCAGACCTCAGCTTTCTTTAGTGCTGCAGGGGCCCAAGGGGAGGGAGGAGAGTGTGTCCCTTGGGGTCCCCGGTGCCGATCACGCCTCTCTGTCCTGCAGGGCTCCTGCACTGACTCCTGAGGACTGCTTGACTGGGATTGGTCTTCATCCTTCTGCAGTGCCCGCCTGTCTGCCCAGAATTCCCAGCCACCTGCGTCAGCCTGTCCCCCTCTGAGCTCAGAGTCCTACAGTGGCTGTTACACAGCCACCAGGTCACATCCTGTGACCCCTGCCCCAAGGATCTGGCTGTGAACCTGCTTCCTGCACTGCCCAGAGCCTCTGCCTGCACTGCCAGCTGCATCTTCTCAGGCCTCGAGCGGCTGCTCTTCCATTCTGCCCCACAGACTGCTCAAGAGAAGCACATTGAATCCGTTTGGCTGACTACAGAGCTTTTTAAAAATAATTAAACATGATTATGAGTTATTTGTACCCTAAGCTTTCTTAACCGGGTGGAGGGAGGAAACCACTGCAGAACGAAGGAACATATTTTGAGGTGACCCAGCCAACCTGTGGCCAGAAGGAGGGGTTGCTCCTTGAAAGGAGACTAGAAGCATCTTGGGTGCCTAGTAAGGGCAGGCAGAGGAGGTAGAAAATCAGTTCTCTTGTCACATTCTTCACGGTTCTTAATATTGACGTTCAGTGCAATGGCCCTAAGATATCCCAGTCTCGCTTCCAGTTTGCTGAGTATTGTGTAAGTAGACATAGTGGAATTGTGTGGGGACACACATAGTGACTGCTAGTGTCACAGACAGCCAAACTGATGTTTCAGAGATATCCTGCCAAGTTACAGTGAGCAAGGCCAGTTTTTATTTTTGAGAAAGTAGAATCAGAAATTAAATTACTCTTCTTGGTTCCAATTGATAGAAACCCAACTCAAACTTATTTTTTTCATGTAATAAGGAAGTGTGGGGTTGTCAACTTCAGAAGTGACTAAATGGAGACATTCAATGAGATCTTCATCTTTCTCTTCTCTTTCTGCGTGTCTGAGTCCATTTTGTGTTGCTGTAGAGGAAAACATGAGACTGGGTCATCTATAAAGAAAAAAGGTTCATTTGGCCCACGGTTCTTTGGGCTATGTAAGAAGCACGGCGCCAGCATGAGCATCTGGCGAGGCCTCAAGCTGCTTCCACTCGTGGTGGAGAGAGAAGGGGACCAGAGATCACACAATGAGAGATGAAGCAAGAGAGAGAGGGGGGAGGTTCCAGGCTGTCTTTAACAACCAGCTCTCTTGGAGACTAGTAGAGCAGAGAACTCACTCATCCCTGAGGGAGGGCATTAATCTAATCATGAACGCTCCTCCCCATGACCTAACACCTTCCATTAGGCCCCACCTCCAACATTGGGGATAGATTTCAGTATGAAATTTGGTGGGGACAAGCATCCAACCCATGGCAGGGCACTGTCATTCACCACAGGAGTCAAGAGGAAGTGACACCCTTAGGGAAATGGGGAGAGCTTGTGCTGCATTGTTCGGGAGCCTTTGGTCTTTATGTGTAGCTCTGGGCTTTTAACCCTGGGAAGGAAAAGGGAGGGCGGGGATTGAGCCAGACTCATAGTTTAGGGTGATACTGAAATCTGATTTTTCTAGTTGAAGCTTAATAATCAGGGTGGGTGTGGAGTATATTTTAGGACATTCTAGTAGTTCAACATTGTCACCCTGGATCCATGCTGGAAGATTCCTTTTTAATGAGAGGACCAGAGCCTTCTTGCTTTTCTTCCAGTGACAGTTTCATAGAAACTATTATTTTTGCACCCAGATTTCATTGTGTAATGTAATATTTAATTGATAATTTAATTAAAATAATAATTAATGCATCCTTTATAAACAAGTTTGCTAACAAAAAGGACCGACTCTTAGTATGTATATACCTTGGAGGAAAGTGTATGGGTGTACTAGAGACAACTTACCAGTCGTGAGCACTTGTCCTTACCTTAAATATTAGTAATATCAGTATATCTTTCAAAGGCAGGGGTGCTCACCACTATTCCAAAGCTCCAGTACACCTCCCAGATGCCTCTGCTGTTAGGTTGGGGTCATGTGACTAGTACCAGCCATTGAAGCTTACAGGTGGGCATGGGATCTATTTTATCTTCCTCTGCTACTAAAAACCTGGAAGCCATTGTTGAGGTGAGGGTGTATAAGATGGTGACAACTCCATAACCTGAATCCCTTGAATGGCTGTGGAACTGAGTCCATTTTATTGATTTAAGCCATTGAGATTTAGTTTTTGCTGAGGATCAGTATCTTACTGCAATATAACCTTGCCCTTCCTAACTACTGTGAGATACTTAACTGAAAAGAGAGGGTTCATAAGTTAATAGAGTGAACCAATGGAGTTAATAGAAGTTAAGAGACTCTATGTTTTCATCAATATTTATTTGTTTTCTTCCACCATAGTATATATTGTGTATTTCCAATGACTAGAAGAGTGCTTTTGTGGTAGATACTGTTCTGTTTCATCTTGATTCCTCTCTTTAGCACTGAAGGATTTATTCCCTCAGTTGCTGGGGATGTTGCTGGCTGACAGCCCTCCCCTGAAATGGCCTTGGGTGACAAGAGCTGCCACACCCAATTCTACCCCACTTTCCGGGGCAAACCCATCCCCAGTTACTGGTGACTGTGGGGGCTGTCAAGGCCCTGGAACCTTCCCCTAATCTGAGACAATCTGAAGGGCCCTTGCAGCTTCTAAAACCTGCTTCTTTCCCTTCCCCTACAGTTATTACTCCCAAGAACACTTGTAATGCATGCCCCGGAGGCTGATCCCTGACTCAGAGTCTGCCTCCTGGGGAACCCAGCCTGTCACAGCTTGGTAAACAGGAGGTCTGCTACATACAATTTTTTGATCAAGGAATGAAGGGAAGACATTGATTTAGAATTTTATCTGAGATAGGACTGCTCTCCTCAGTACTATCACGGTTTGGGATATATCAACAGGGACACAGAGATAAAGGAATCCTCCAGTTCCTCAATACCAAGAATTTGGCTGGAGACCAAGTGAACTTCTGTCCTTTTATCAGAAGGTTGAACAGATGCAGGCTGTCACTTTTCAAGCCAGAAGACCTCTGACCGTCTGTGTAGTCTAACTACCTTTATCTCATCCAGATCCAATGATTGAGACCCCAAACCCTGGGCTGGAATGGTAGTAAAATTATCTGGGCCATTGTCTTGTGCATGGCTAGATTCTCAGTGTAGTTGAGTATATCATCTGAGTGTGCATGCCCACTCAAGCCTAGGAGGTCATGCCAATCAGCAGGGGTTAATGTATAATTGTGATATGTGCCAGTTATGTGACCCTGGCTGCAGGTGACAGAATGCCCGTTCTGAAAGTGCATTTAACAATGTGGAATATCCGTGCCTGTTTTGTGTTCTTTTAGGTGATAATCAGTTAGAAGTGGCCACAAGAGGGGACATAGGAGAGGCTCAGGAAAACAAAATGTGTTATACTTACAGGTTCTAGAGAGATAGAGTCACTGCACACTAAGAGGGGTCACATGGGAGGAGCACTCGGGAGCAGGCTCAGCCAAGCAGGTGTGGAGCTGAGAACCTGTGGATAAGTAAGTGGCCTCATTGGAGGTCAGAGTGGAATACACAAGAAAAAGTGTGAGAGGATTTTACTGGTGCATTTGAATGCCATTAGGTCATGTTCAGGGGAGGACAGGAAGAAGAACTTGTTGCAAGGGCCAACTTTATTACACTGGTGGACCTGTTCACCTGGGTGGGCTGCTCACAGCCTGTGTGTGGGAATGTTGAGGCAGCAGGAAAACAAAAAGAAAAAAATGAGGTTTTAAAAATTTACAGTACAGTGTCTTACATAATAAAAGTCTATAAGGTGGGCTCCTGTGTAGAACATTAGCCCTCTGGATCTACTCTGAATTCTCTCAATCTAGTGTCCCTCATGATCACAAGATGGCTGCAGCAACTCCAGGTGTCACATCCTTACCTAATGCAGTCTAGAAACATGGACTTTGCTTATAAGAGAGAGAGAAAAAAAACTTCTCCAAATTACATGAGGAAAATTTCTCTTTCCCTCATTGGCTAGAATAACATGGCTTGCTTATTCTAAAACCCCTCCCTGATAAGAAAAAATAATTAATAATGATTACGTTTTAGACTAAATAAGATTCACACTGTGGGAATCAGGATACAATGAGCCTCTCCTGGCCATATGGAAGACCTGGGTACCTGAACAAATTCCCAGTTCTCACTGCAAGGATGAGTGGAAATGATGGTTTTAAAGGTGTTCAAAAACACCTTCCTCAGTGGAAATGGTGCATAGTTCAAGAATATGCTGAGATGAATTACATCTGGAAAGTGGTCTTCCATTTGTCCCCTTTGCAACTGCGTAGGCATGCTTGGAAGTTCGAATCAATTTATAGCCCAAATTCAACACAATTAATACATGACTATTTTCTACCAGTTTTTAAATAGTTATAAATAAGGCTAATTTTTTTTTCTTTTTGTCCATCATCAGTGTAGTGCTCTCCTCTCTCCCACATCAATAATTTACTTTATTTTTTCAGTTTCGTGTGGATTCTTAAAACTTTGTAATGTATTTTTATGCATATGTGAGTACATGCAGATAACATACAGATTATGTGTGTGTTAAACATTTTATGGTAACCTGTAAATATCATTTCGTGACTTGCTTTTGTCAGTGAACAATGCGATTTGGAGATGTTTTCATAATGCCATAAGTCATATTATAAATGTTATCATTTTATACTGTTGCAGAGTGTTGCAGTTTTGGGCACCCATCCACATTTTATTCGGCCATCCATTATGTTTGCCTAGCCAATATTTACTTGTGAATCATCAAGTGTCTATACAATATTTTAATATTGTTAAAGTTGAAACTGTTGACATTCTACTGTAACAATAATTATCTTGTGGACTTTGCTGATTGCTTAATTCAAAAAGTGGCAAAAAAAAAAAAAAGAGTTATCACTGTTTAAGTTTCATTTATGTAGCCAAGCTTCTTAGACCTGCCATGGAGCCGTCACACTCGGGTTCCCCTTCCGTGAGGGCTGGAGTTGAAGCCATTGTTTTTTGGACCGTTTGCCTTCCGATTTCCTGGTTAACAGTATCATTTTATGAAGTCATATACTTAAGTACTGTCCAATAAAACTATGAATATAAGTAAATTTTACATCATTTCACATCTGATAATATTTTCATTCTGTCCTCATGACTGATGGTGATTTTGAAGAGGTATTTATTTATAAATAGCAAGCAATTTTTCTTTAGAATTGCGATCATTGACTCAAAGTCAATGAGAAAGGACTCAAAGTCCTTTCTCTCTTAATGATAGAAGTATCTGTCAGTCTGACTTTTTGCTACATTTTGTCTGCTTTGTTTTGTTTTCACCCACTGAAATATTTTATGAGCTTCCTTTAATCCTTTGAGGTTTTGAAAATTTTAAAAT